TCTCTCTCTCTCTCTCTCTCTCTCTCTCTTTCTCTCTCTCTGTCTCTCTCTCTCTGTCTCCCCCGCCCCAACCTCTAGTCTGGCTTTGAGCGCCCTCTCGTGGTGGAAGAGGGATTAGCATGCAGACCCCACAACACAGCAAGCTGTACCCTTTCCTGATTCTCAAGTTTAAGTGAACTTGAGAAACGTGCCAGCCTCTTACTTAGACACGCTGTTGCCACATTGTTATGCTGATTTACATGCCCATTTTGATGATGGTAATAATAATGACTAGTGATATTATATAATACTCGTAAAACATTACAATTAATCATCACAGCAGTAAAGTACTATAAGAATTATTGCCTTGGTAGCTGGGCGTAGTGAGGCAAACCTATGATCCCAGCACTTAGGAGGCTGGAACAGGAGGATCGCTGTCAGTCCAAGTCCAGCCTGGGCTACATACTGAGTTCAAGACCAGCCAGAACTACACAGTGAGATCTTGTCTCAAGAAAAAAAAAAGTATTGCTTTGGTAAAGGAATGAAGAACATATCACAGCATAACTTATTTATAAAATAACAAGTGTTATTCCTCGAGCCTGTGCTTTGGCTGGGATCAGTGAGCCAAGCCCTTTGTACTCACAGCCCTGCTGAGCCAAGACCTCAACCTAGGAAGCAGGTGCCATACTCTGCATGTGACAGAGAGGCTCTGAGCAGTGGGGTAACTTGCCCAGTGTCACCTGGCTGTAAGAGGCAAGCCCAGGATTCAGCCCTTCTCAAAAAGGGGGTGCAGAGCCTCTTATGCCAAAGGCCTTGGAAGGGCCAGGTGTCTTGGGAGAGCCAGAGATCCTGCCTATCCCTGATCCTGTTATCAGAATGGCCTTTCTGTGCCAAAATATTATAGCGTAGCTCCTTTTAAAAGTGGCTGGCTGATTAAATGTTACCAGGTTCTGGGTTGTTCACCTCTCCTTCTGGAGTAGATTCCAGGTTCTTCACACCTTGAACAAAGAACTGAATGAAACTAGCAAAAGCCAGTGGCAAGGTTTATTTGAAAAAGTAAAAGTGAAGAGTGAGAGAGAAACTGGTTCTGCAGAGCGAGCTTGGGCAGATTGGAGGGAAAAGCAAGATAAAAGAACACCCTAGGGAAAGCACGGTGGGCTATCATGAGGCAAGCCATGATAACAAGCCTTCTTGCTGTCTATATCCTCTTATGCTGTCCAGATCTTGAGGAAACTCTCGAGAATTTCTAGGTCCAGTTCCTGAGAGGGGATGCTGGGAAGCTGTACCTTAGGCTGACATCAGGTCTTCGCCACCCTCTTGAAAACCTGCTGGAGTTCTTGAGAAAAGTCCACGTGCAGGGCTTTGGGGACTGTCCTGGGCATGTTTTCCAGGATCTTGTAATTAGCAGGTCAGGCCTGCTTCCCCAGCCAGCTTTGCCACCCCTGAATCTCCTGTGTCAGTCTGCAGGCCTTCAGGGTCTCTTTCGCCTGAGCTCTCTTCCCAAATTCTGGTACAGGACCTGGATAATCCCCACTCAGGGTGGGTGCGGTTTCTGAGCCAGAGGTCTAAGCATAGCTCCTCTCTGGGGGTAAATACTGTCTCATTCTCGTCCTCCCTCCAAGCCCCTGGGAAGCACTTGGCCTTGCCATTTTATCCCGTGGTAGAGGACCACAAACAGAGAGCCGCTGCAAAGGTCACACAACCAGTGGAGACCGAGCAGGATTTGACCCCATCCTCGTTCTGCACCCCTAACAAACCCTGCCCCCGCCCCCCAGGAGACCCTACTGTGCACCTGGGACCAAGTCCCCCAGACCCCCCTCCCCAATCCATCAGTCCCCGAAGGAGTTCAGGGACTTTGGGGTGGTCTAATGAGACGTTGTCTGAAGGAGGACAGAGGGAATGATCCTAAGTGAGGCTAAGAGGGGTTTCTCAGTGAACCTCCGCAAACGCTCCTTCCCGCCCTTTTCTTTACTCTCCGGCAGCTCCTCATTGCCATCCTCCCCTCCCAGAACACGGGGCAGCTGCAGAGGGAGGTAGATGCAGGCCCTCACCTGCCCAGTCCTGGCACCACCCTTCCCACCACCTCGTACTTAGCTGTTGCTACTCACCCTTAAGATTGCCCTTAAAATGTCCGCTCCTCTGAGAAGCCATCTGCAAGCACCCATAGCCAGTGCCCCCACAACCCTCTCAGCCATAGCATACCTGGAGGCATTGCAATCAGTGATAACTGGTTAATTAAAAAGTTAAGCTGAGGGCTCTCTCATAAACACGGTTATACACTAATCCAAGTGTTTTAAGATAAAGTAAATGAAAATTCTTTTGCCATCTTTTGCCCCAGGATGCAGAACTACTCTTTGGAAACAGCTCCTGCTTGGCACTGCTTGGCTTTCTTGCCTATAAGTGAGCTGCCACAAATTCCACTGCTTTAGCCATGATGAGAATTTAATGCCACTTGCAAAACCATCCCCGTGCAGAAGACGTCTAGATTTTTATAATTTCTTTCTCCTATGATTTTTTGTTGTCATGTCCAAATTTAACTGCCTACTTTAGCATCTCACCTTTCCAGAATATTTATCTTTGATTTTCTTAGAAACACCTCTTTTCTCAGTCATATTTCATTGGTTTACACATAAATAATTCAAGTGATCACAATAGCAAATACAGCAGGCTTGGAAACATATTTCCATCTCTCGAGAAGCATACAGCTCAGTGCGTGGCAATAAATAGTGTGTAAGTAGCTTACAGACATGACCATTCGGTCCTCTGTGGGCACCAGAGGAAATGGGACACATTGTATATCCAGCTCACCTTTCACTGGTGACCGTTATGAAGGATATATTTCCTATGCATTCATGCGTGTGACTATTTCTAGTTGCTATTTAGTGCTGCTGTGGCTCTCTGACGTCTGAGAAGCCAGAGCTTCCCAAAGAAAATGTCTTTGAATGGTGTTGTTTCCTGTGTTGTCTCCAATCTGGGCCCCTTCACCCAGCTCAGATGCCCGGGGTTGGCATAGACTTTGAAAGTCTACTGGAGTCCATACAGGGGCCTTTTGAAAATCATTTCTGTTTACTTGGTGCCTGGCACGCGATAAACATTTGCAAAGACTTATAGAATCAAGGATCACTGAGACAACAGGTGACATGTCCCTCAAGTAATTATCAGAGTGCCAGACTGAAGCTGAGAAGCTCATTCAGCCTTTCTCTTCCCCTTTTTCCCCCAGATTTGTGAAATAGTTGAGGAATCAGTGACCTCCGACCTACAGCCTTACCTCCAAACCCTGCCGGGTAAGGTGCCCACCCACCCAGGGACACTTTAGCTCCATTAATTTCTACGGCAGCATATTTGTACCTTATAAAACATTAAGTAGGACAGACATATAGAAAGTAACAATTTGAAAATCCATGTGTTTGGGCTGGAGATGTAATTTAATGGTAGAACAGTTGCCTGGCATGTGTGAGGACCTGGATTCAATCTTCAACACAATAATCTCTTTTCTCCCCAACTGGCCAGGAGGTGAGCTCTGTTGGAGGGTATATTTTCTTTGCATGTACAAATATAAATCTACATAAGCATATGGCTATCCATTCTTGTATGTATCATGTTTATTCATGAGTATATGCATAATTATGAGTACATATCTATTAGTACACACAGCACTAATAGATATATTGTTTTGCCTGTAGTTCCTTTTAAATCCATGTACCTTGGAGAGCCTTCTAGATCAGCACACATAAAGTGAAGGCATTTTAGAAAACTTTTTATTCATAGAGAAATGTACTCAAAACATAAGTGTGTAGCTTAAAAATTTTTTTGCACATGGAGCCTATGTATAGAATCAGCTCCCAGATCAAAGCAGAACCTCTTTGGGTCCCCTTCAGTCACTACCTAGCCTCACAGGCAACTTGTTCATCTTTAAGACGTGAGGCCAGTCACACTGTTCATCCATTCTCCTTGCTGTTGGTACGCACTGAGAACCCTCCCCCTACCAGCATCCACTCTACCGTGGAAGGCCATTGGGTAGTTTCCACTTTACACCATCCTGAGTTGTGCCACTGTGAATGTTCCAGTACCAATGGCGTGTGTCTCCGGATATACACCTCGGAGTGAAACTACAGGCCACGTGTGGCGTGTTGTAGGTCCTACCAAAGAGTTGTCCGGAGTGGCACTGGTCACAAATCTCATTGGTTCCTAGCTGGGCTGTACTCCATCCTGTGGGTGTGTCTTCATTCAGTAGCCCCAACCAAGGGACATTTCAGGTCTTGCATCCTTTGTTATTGCGCACAGGCTGCAGGAAGCAATTCATATTTCCTCCTTTGCTTATGCATATGAATGGGTCTCCGGAGTAACCATTTACAAGTGGTGTCCCCGGACCCAGGTTGCACACATAACGTTTGGAGAGACAGCGCCTGACAAACTGTCTGAGACGTTCTCTGTGTGGTGGTCCTTTGGTCCCTAGGCCCCCATGTGGTATTAAGAGGCCCTTCACGGAGGCCCAGGCTGCCCAGCCCACCTAGTGTGCGGGAACCTGCATATTTGCCAGCCTATGGCCCTGGGGCACAGAACCCAGGCCCTGGGACTTGCCTGACCATCCTGGTTATTTGCCTTAGCACAAAGCTGCAACAGAAGCTGAAGGTGTCACGCCTGCCAGACCAGGCTTCTGGTGTGTGTGTGTGTGTGTGTGTGTGTGTGTGTGTGTGTGTGTGTGTGAAACTGCTTAGGTCCCAGGCTAAGCCTAGCACCCCCACCACTGCTAACCTCCCAGGAGGACAGGAGAATCCATGCTGTCTCTCTCTTGGAGAAGCAGTTCTGTGGCCCAGGTCTGGGCTGGGTGGGGCGTCCTTAGGCAAAGGGTGGGGGCTCTGCATGGGTCGGCCAGAGCTCTTGCCCCTTCTCCATCAGCTGAATACCATGTCTGGCCCCTAATCTTGTTCCTGCCCTGGTTCTCAGTCACAGCGGAGATTGACAGCTTCTTAGATGTTGACTACAGTTTAACAGAAGCCCCTCAAGCCACAGCCCAGATGCTGGATGTGATGTTTAAGGTGAGGGCTCTGGAGCATGGCCTGGGGGTTGCAATGCCAGGGCAGCTCACTCCTGGGCCACTGATCCAGAACTTCAGATCTGTGCTCACCTCCCTGCTGGTTGCTGCTGTGTTGAGAGCAGGGCGCTGTGGAGGAGGCAGAGCCACGGGGGGGGGGGGGGGGAGCAGGAGTCACCACCTTCAGGCCTTAAAACTGCTCCCTTCCTCCTCTGTCCCCTCCAGCTGTGTGCCCTGCAGGGAGGCCAGTCACAGCTGGCCCTGAGGGACAGAGGGGCTGGCAGCCTGTCCTGTGGCTTCCTGAGATTCTGGGGGGTTTGCAGTAAGAGCCAAGGAAACCTCTCGAGGGGCAGAGTTGCAGACCATGGCTCCTGCCAGTGTCCTCCGCCAGGGACGCAGCAGCCACTGCAGCTCAGATGCCCAGCCCTGCGACAGACTGAAAAGTTCAACTGGATCCTGTTCTCTCTCTCTCCAGGGAGAAATTTTCCATCATGACCACCGCTCCCCAGTTGCTCTTCTTCCTCCCGTCTTGAGCCTTCCAGAAGATCACAGCCAGATGGTCTACTTCGCCATCTCCGACTACGTCTTCAATACTGCCAGCCTGGTTTACTACCAGGCCGGGTACATGAACTTCTCCATCACAGACGATATGGTGAGGATGGGGCAAACTAGGGCTCCCCAGGGACAGCACAACTGACCCCTGCTTTCATCTTTCCTCCCCACCCTTATTACATCAGTAAAACCGTAACTTAAACTAAGAAAAAAAAAAATCAACACCAAGAAAAACATAAGCCAGCACAGCTTCCCTTTATTACTTTGGCTACCAACAAGCTTAAAGCCAAAGTTCTTTCTCCTGCAGAACAACTCTAGGTGGCAGTTTGTCGGTGTTTTACTTTTTTCTTAGTTTAGATCTGCTTTTCTAAATGGTATTTCCTCTTATCTTGATTCCTGGAGGTTTATGAAGAATATTTTAGCAAATGAGGCAAGATAATAGATGTACAAAATTATAAAGAAAAAGAAATAAAGGCTAAGGGAAAAGTAGAGAACAATTATGAAAACATTGGGCCCAAACATTGATTTTTCAAAAATCACAAAACTGTCTGGGAGTTTCCTTGTAGCCAAAGCAAAAAGGGTACATGACTTAGGTGCTTCATAGTGAAAAGAAGAGACAAAGTCTTCCTAACAGTCAGCTCTGAAACAACTGTCTGCAGTGGGACTTTGTGTACGGGACATTCGCATCTTTAGTGTATGTCCAGTTTCTTTAGCAGTTCTGGGGTTTAAAAGGCTGTTTCCTACAGTACTTCAGAAAAATTGAGGTCTCATGAACAATGTCAAGATCATGGGGGACACGGTGCGATCTACTTGGTAATAATCAGGGACTATCTGGCCGATGGATGGGGAGTATTTTATCCTACAGATAATTGATCTTTCTCTCTCCCTCCCTCTCTCTCTCTCTCTCTCTCTCTCTCTCTCTCTCTCTCTCTGTGTGTGTGTGTGTGTGTGTGCATGCTTGTGTCTATGCACACATAGGTAGGACCCACTGTGGTGCGCACACACACACACACACACACACACACACACACACACCTTTTTTAGTGGGATTGTTGCATAGAGGAATGGGACACCGAGGCTTTTCTTTTACTTGGCACTGCTTTCTTTTTTTTTTTATTTTAAAGAGTAGAAGAAGGATAACATAATAATAGGGGGGACTTAGCAAATTACAGACAAAATGGTAGGAAATTATCAATGGTTATCGTTTTACATATTATTATCTACAAAATAGTTTCTCAGGAAAACAAATAGACAAATAATAGTGAGTTACAGACAAAAGAGGTAGGAGATTATCAAGAGTTGTTGTGCTATACTTTGGTATCTTCAAAGTGAGGCTTTTCTTTTAGGAAGCAACTTTATTTGTGCTGGCACAAGCTCAGCGGGCTAATACCTAAAAGGTTGAGCTCTGATCATGGCGGAGTTTTGCATTTTATGCAATTTTTGTGCCTTTGTCTCCCTGAAATAAAAACACAGTAACACACTGTAGCCTGATTGGGTACAGTCTATGTTACAGAGCCCTGCTAGAACTGTACATGTGTATCTAGAAGCTAACTGTGCAGTGCTGCCTTTTTTTCTTGAGAAGGCCCTCACAGTATTTCTTTAGGAGAGCCCACCACGTTCTCCCCTTTGAAGCTCAGACCTCCTGTTTTGGGTCAAAGAGCATCATCTCAGTTTAAAGGTTTATATTTTCATCCTGTGGATGGCCTTTTGTTTTTGACTGTTGCTTTAATGAAGCTCAAGATAGACTATATAACCAGAATTAAGCAAACCCACATGATCAAAAGTCTAATACCTATGAGAGTTTTGAACCACCTGAGAATTGAAAATCATCTTCTAAACAACTCCCTGGGATCCCAAACTTTTCAGGTCTGGACTGGGACATGAGAAATCTTTTTTATCTAATCTGTAATCTCTGGTATGATTACATATCTAGTACAGTCTAGTACAGATTACATATCTAGTACAGTCGCTGGGTCTTTCTTTTCCATCTATAGATCTGGATGCCAATTTGGATGCCCCATTACCATCTGGAATCTCTTGGGTTAATGATGGTAAAATTAACAGGGTTGTAGGCTTTTGTCTGACAATCTGATGTAGCAGCACCCTTTGAAGGGGTGCTGCTGTGCCTTCTTTTTCTCAAGTGGCCTATGAAACACAGCTCCCCCTGGGGCACAAAAGCTCAGGTTTTCTTCACACATGTACTTGTCATTGAGTCAGTATTCCTGCTCCCAATCCAGGCCTCCTCACAGTACATCCAGGCCTTGGGCCCCCTATAACAAGTGCCCACTTTGTTCGTATGACAGATGTCTCTGGGCCAATACTTATGACTACACATACATCAAAGTGCATTTACGCTGGCTGTTTTAGGTTAGTAATTTGTGTCTGACTGACCAAGGCCCCTCCTTCTCGGTAGACCGGACTTTTCTGTGTGGGTGGGGAAGGCCTCTATGCACCCTGAGAAGGTATACACAGAGACTCACAAGTACGTGTAGCCATGAACTCCGGGAAGCTCAGTGCAGTCTATAACCACATTTTCAAGCGGGGCTCCCCCAGCACTGCACTCCAGGAACAACCTTGGGCCCTTGACTCGGGTGTTGTGGGCACATCTTTCACATTGCTCACACACGACTCAGGCTGTGCTAAGAGCCGTGGGACATAGAAATGCTGACCCATGGCTGTCTGGCCCATACAGGTGTCTCAGCGAAACTTTTTGGCAAAAGCTGGAGCCAGTGCCTCGGGACTGTTACCTGGCCATCTTTCAATTTCTACCACCCACCTGGGAGGTAGCTTTCATTCTTGGTCTTAAACCAAGTACTCTTGTATCGTGAGTAATCGAGGTTCCGTTTTGCCAGTGGACTAGGGAACAGTGCGGCAGCCATAGACCTTGATTTGTTGTTTTTCGGAGGCTGGGAACTTTGCTTTCTGGTCTGCTTTACAGTGTCTCTGGGCGGCCATGGTGTCTCTTCTCTGACATCCTGGCGATAGCTGACTGCCGCTCTTTTAGGGGCCCACACAGCATCTAAGAGTTTAAGGATTTCTCTGCCGTATTTTAAGACTTTTTCCTCTTGAGTTTATTAGACCCTTTTTTATACAAAGCTCTATGTATTGGAGGGTGGTGAAGGCACATTTAGAGTCTGTGTATATATTAACACATATCTCTGCCGCCAGTTGGAGGGTGCAAGTTAGCGTGATAAATTTTGCCTTTTGTGTAAAGGTCTGCTTTGGCAGAGACTTTGCCTCAATGGTGGAATTTAGGGTGACCACAAAGTGCCCTGCAAGGTGTTCTCCCTCTTTTACAAAACTGCTACCATCAGTAAAGTAGTCAGCACTGGGGTTTTGTGGGGGGCTGTTCCTCTATTCTGGTTGACTGGAACATACCTCATCCATGGCCTTCATACAGTCGTGATCTGGCTAGCCTGGCCTGAAAGGCAGGAGGATTGCCAGGTTCAAGGTCTGCACTATTTCTAGGTGAATGCTTGGGTTTTCACATAACATCCCCTGGTATCTGACCATCCAGGCATTACTTGGCCAGTATTGTCCTATGTACTCCAGTAATGTCAATATTGAGTATGGCACTTGGACTGTCAATTCTTGTCCCATAGTCAGTTTGTCAGCCTCTGCACCAAGAGGGCTGTAGCTGCAAGTGTTCAAAAACAGGTGGCCTGCCCTGAGCAACAGAGTCCAGTTTCTTGGAGAGGTTTGCCACCGGCCGATGCCATGACCCCAACATCTGGGCTAAAACACCCACTACAGTGCCAGTGCACTTGCTAACGTACAAGAAGAAAGGCTTAAGCTTAGTTACATGCAGAAGCCCCAGGCCGGGTGCATTGGTGAGGGCCTGTTTGATCTCTTTAAAGGCTTTTTGCTGTACCTGGTCTCACAACAGAAGTTCTCATTTTCTCCCTTTTGTTGCCTCATAAAGGAGTTTTGCCAAGACCAAAAAGTTAGGTATCTAGATTGTACAGACACCAGCACCCCCAAGGAGCTATCAGACCTGGCATCACGTTATCAGGACTAAGATTGAGCAAGCTGTCTGTTTCCTCTTGGACATGAGTTGGAGCTGCCCCTGTGACAAATGGAAACAGAGGTATTTGACCCTCAGCAAATTTGGGCCTTTTTCCTAGAGACCTTGTAGATGGCCTCCCGTAGGACAATAAGGAGCTGTCACATTTTTTCTATGCAATCCTCTCGAGACCTTCCAGCCAGCACCAAGTCATCTGAAGCAGTACACAGCCATGTTGGTCCACCAGGAAAACTTTTAAATCAGCAGTCAATGCCATATCGAAAACGATCAGGGAATTTTTGAATCCTTGGGTCAGCCTTGTTCAAGTCAGCTGGCCATTGTCACCATTTTTTTCTCCCACTGGAAAGCAAAACTTGGCTGACTCTGTGGGGCCAGGCAGATAAAGAAGAAGGTAATTTTGAGGTCTAAACATGTAAAGAAGGCAGCTTAGGAGGGGATAAGACCCAGGAAAGTGTAGGGGGTTGGGACACCTGGGTGTAGCATGACAGTGGCCTGGCTTACTGCTTACAAATCCTGAACTGGCTGATAGCCACCTGTGCCCGGCTTCTGAACTGGCAGGTGTGTTCTAAGGTGACTGGCAAGGTCTACAGATTCTGTAATTCAGAAGCCTCTCCAGTTGTTTCTACATCCCAATCTGTGCCTTGCTAGGGATGAAGTATTGTTTTTTGGGGGCAAATTGGCTCTGACCCTGGCTTTAGTTTTATACTACTAGAGGTATGTCCCAAGCTAATCCTGGTGGATTGTCATCAGCCCCATACTCCAGGTACTTTTGAAGGAAAACTCAAGTCCCTGATGTGGCTTTTTTCTGAGACTGTAGAGGCACCATTTTTCTCCTTAGGGAATCATAAGTGCCATGACTTTTGCTTCTGGCCTATGTAAAGTCAGAGCAGCCTGTCTGTGCAAGTTCAGATTTATTTGGGCCTGTAACTTTCTCAACAAGCCTAGATCCATAAAGCTGTGGGACAGTCAGGGAAGTAGAGAAATTCATGAATGACATCACGGCTGCCTAAATTGCATCTTCGGGGTATCAGGAAAAGATGATGTATTCGGTTACCTGTGGCCCACACCATAGTGGTCTGTCTCTGTGAGAGGGGGTGCAGGAGTTGGGTCACTACAGAACTCTCCACCCTAGTCAACAGATGTCCCCCTACATTTATTCAGACCATAGGCTCTTGGGGGCCTAACAAAACAGAACCCAGTCTGTCCTAGTCCTCTTTATTCTCTCATGGTGGTCAGCCTATAAAATCATCCTCTGTCACCCCACGTGGCCTCTGAGCTGGCTGGTATTGGCCCTGAACTACCTGACCTCTGTTCTCTTGTTGGGGCAGGAGGTTCATCCAGTTGGGGCATTCATTCCTCTAGGGTCCACACCTGCAGCAGTGGGCACATTGGTTCCAACCCAGCTTTCTCTCTGGGTGGATGACCCCTTCTGTCAGCTTCTCCACTGGTCTCCTCCTTGTCCTCCTCACTGGCTTCACCCTTTGCCCCTGGACATGTCCTCACAGAGGTGTCCTGGTCATTCCACCACAGTGGTTGCAGCAAGTCTGCCTTTTGCTTTATATTATGACTGTCCTCTCATCGGACCTCCTGATCTCTGTTGACAAACACCTTGTGGAGACCTCCAATAGTTCTCTGGCATTCATCCCAGTGAAAGCCTCCAGCTTCTGCAGTTCATGTGGGCTATCGCTCTGAGCTTGGCTGACAAATGCCACATTTACCATCTGTTGCTTCTCAGCTGCTTCTTGGTTGAAGAGGGTCTACAGACGGAACGCTTCATATAGCCTCTCAGAGACCTGGCTCAGGCTGTCTTCCAGCCCCTGGAGTACCTCTGAGGTCTTGCTCACATTCATGGCCCTTTTTCCTCCAGCCTTCAGACCATTTAGAAGGATCTCTTGGAACTGTTTGATCAGGCAGAGTCCTCCTTTTGCAGGTCCCATTGGGGATCTTTTCCTGGAAAATGGCTATGGGCATAGCCTGGAGGTCCAGCATTCCAGCCAGGGGATTTTCTTCCAGCTATCATAGGTGGCCGGAATAACCTGTTAATGCTCCTTGGTGTTGAACAGGGTCAGAAGGAGCTGTTGGCAATCAGTCTCTGTGGGTCTATGGGGTCTGGATAATGGGCTGCATCAAGCCAGTCATTGCCTGGGGTTTCTCTGTATAGGAAGGCCTGTGATTTTTCCAGTTAAGGAGGTCAGCAGTGGTGAAGGGTTAGTACACTAACACTCATTCACCTCTCTGGATTTGCCCTGTTGGTTATGGTAAAGGGGTCCCTGAGTCTCTCAAGCAGCATTTACGTGGCTCGTGGGTGATGCCAGAGGGTCAGTCTGCTGGAGGGGTCCTATCAATGGGTGCCCACCAGCACGTGAGGGGTCAGAATAGTGGGGCAGGGGAGGTCACTGTTGGAGGGTCTCCAGGGAGGCCTCAGATGACAGTGAGGAAGCAGTGATCCCTGGAGGGCTGACCAGCTCTGATAGGGCCTCTGCGGCAGGTGCAGTGGGTGGCAGTGGCAGGGTGGATACAGTGGGCTACGTGGAGGTGGATCTCCTGGTTCTCCAGACAGAATCGGTTTATTGGACTTTGGCTGACATTTGGAGGTAGCTGAGGTGGCTGGGACAGGGCCAAGTCTTGCCAACAGTCAATATAAGGAAAGTGATCAGGATGGTCAGGGTCCCCCACAACAATCCTAAACACTCGGCTAATTAGCTCCTTATCAAGTGAGCCCTCAGAAGGCCAGCTTACCCCAAACGACAGCCAGTCAATTTCACAGAATGTCCAGAGTCTTTCGGGACTTAGCTTAATACCACAGTCACCTGAATGTCCTTTTAAAAATTCTTTAGCGTACACTCCAGGGGAGTTGGGTTACTGTGCTTTCCACCCATCTCTTCTCCCTAGCAGACACCTTCCACACACAAGAGAGGAAAAGGGGAAAGGGAGAGGTTAACGTGGAGAAGATAACACACTCGCTCTGTCTGTCTCCGGCCACTCTCCTGCGGGAGATATTTGAGGCGCCTCTCAGCATCGGCGAGCTCAGTAATACCTGGTCTGGATCAGACTCCCGAGCAAACCTGACGGACCATAAGCTGTATGAGGTCACCACAGAGCCTCGATGGACGCTTCACACTCACTCCTTTGGTCAGGTCCAAACCTTTCTGCCGTCCCTCTCAGTCACACACAAACATACAACTCCAACTCGCTGCCCAGCGCCCAGCACCTCAGAGTGGCAGCTTCAGTTTGATGAAACTTACTTGGGCAACCTTGGAGGAGATCAGGCGCCCCCTTAGCCTCTTAGGGGCAGGTTTACCAAAATGAACCAGGGCGCTTACCAATCTGATGGGAAGCACTCCCTAAGCTAGTCCCTGAGCCTCACGGGGTTCTGTTGTGCACCTGGGGTCCTCACCCCAGCACATAGGGAGAGGCTCGTCCTCCCTATGGATCAAACCATCCCTTGGTGCCAGGTGAGGTCAACCCGAAGCTCCAAGGTTCACACTCTGGGTACAAAAGAGGTGGAAATGCCTCCTCTCCAAATCCTGGACACGAGTTCCCAAGAAATGTAGTGGGATTTTGGCTTAGAGAGATGAGACTGAGTCTTTTCTTTGTTTGCTTTTAGGTAGCAATCTTATTTGTGCCAGCACAAGCTCAGTAGGCCAATACCCAAAAGACTGAGCCCCGACCATGGCAGAGTTTTGCCTTTTATACAATTTCTGTGGTTTTGTCTCCCTTAAATAATAACACACTAACATATTATAGCCTGCATGCGATCTAAGTTACAGAGCCAGGCTAGAACTGCACATGCGTGTCTAGACCCTAACTGTGCCATGTCGCCTTTCTCGTTCTGAGAAAGCCCTCACCACATTCCTTTGGGAGTGGCCCTGCCACACTTTCACCTGTTATGCTGACACACCCGCGCACACCCACCTGGTGCACCATGTGCCAGGCCCTGCCTGAAGGTGGGGACTATTATAATCCAATTTTACAGAAGAGGCTCAGGAGAAGAAAACAGGCCCCAGGTCACAGAGCAACACAGCCAGGAGCCTATGCCAGTTCTTTGTGTTTATAAATCTCACCCTCAAAGACCCTCTGAGTGAGATGCATACGTCACCTATAACCCTGGACCCCAACCAAGCCTCAGGAGACTTGTGTGCTCAGCCTGGGGTGAATCCAGGGTAGGCATCTCCTCACCACCACAGGAGCCCCTCTCAGTGAGAAGTACCCATCCTCAACACCCTCCACTTTCCCCACTCTCTTCCAGCATCCGCTCCCTAAAAAGTCTTTATGTCTCTTTGTTGCAGATTCCGCCTGACTCTCCCTTCCGACTAACCACCAAGTCCTTTCGAGCCTTTGCTCCCCGGGTAAGGTGCCCTCAGCTTTTCACGGGCACAGACTGAGCTCCTCTGACTTCCAAGCTTTCTCCAAAACCTGTGTCCCTCTCTGCTTCACTGAGAGGCAAAAGGCCAGCAGGGAGGCCCCAGGGAGCCACAGGCTGCAGGCTCCCTTCAAGTAGCAGAGGCCTGAGCGTCATGTCATGTGGAACCATGCAGGTGTTCCAGTCTTCTAATTTTATTTATTTATTTTTTTTGGTGCTAAAAGTCCTAAAGAATGCTGACATGTTCTATAAAGGCTGCCCCATTTAATATCATCTAACAGTGACAGAAGGCTTACTAGGGGCCAGGCATGCTGAGGGTGCTTTAAAAAATTATTTTCTGAATGGAAAGGAAATTCTCACAGCTCACTAGTTAAATGATATGAAAGGTTATAGAATGGAGGGTCTCCTAACCACTTCAGCTACCTGACACCCAGTTTCCATCGGGAGTCTCCCAGTAGCATAAGATTATGTGCATCCTTCTTTGACACTCTACATACATACAGAAATAAACAATCTATACCAAACATGCTGCATCTTTCCCCCATTTTTATGCTAATGGGGGTATATTATACACCATTTTGGATATTGCCCCCCTTCTGTACCTGGGACACCCTTCGGTGTACACAAAGAAAGAGCTTCCTGACTTTTCCCATGGGATCTGACCTGCCAGGGTGTGTGTTAACCATGGCTGTCTAGCCAGTCCTCCGTGGAAGGACACGGAGTTTTTCCCAGCCTTTTGCTACATTCATGTTGCATGCACTAACTAGCCCGGTAGCTCTGACACTGCTGGGCCAAACTCTTCACGTACACTCCCTCACTTAATCCCACAGAAATCGGCCAGTCCTCTCCCCAAACCTCCAGGTTTCCCGGATGCAGCTCAGGCAGGAGTCGTGTTTAAAATGCACTGCAGAAGGCTTGGTGGTGGCTGAAGGCAATTAGAATGGTGGGAAAGATTTCAGCTTCTGTGGCGGGTCATGTCCTTCCAGACAGCACCACCTACACGCCTTTTCTCTCCCTAGAGCCCACCATATTGTCCCAGGCAGCTTCCTTAGGAGCATCCCTTGACCACACCCTGGCCCCAGTAGTACTTTCACCCCAGAAAGAGAAGTTCCTCCTCCCTCTTCCCATCTGCATCAGAACCACCTGTGAAGAAGCAACTCTGCCAACCTCTCAGTAAAGCATTTTCCTCCTCAGCCTTCCAAACTCCTCCCATCTAGAGCAGGGTGTAGATTTTACATTTACACAACCACCCAAAGGAGCAGCCTTGGGGCTGGGGATTTAGCTCAGCGGCACAGCGCCTGCCTGGCAAGCGCAAAGTCGTGAGTTCGATTCCCAGTACCAGGGAAAAAAAAAAAAAGGAGCAGCGTTGTCCCAAATTAAATTCTCTGCCCTCAGAAAACTGAACACTTTTGAAATGGCAGAATCTGGCTGTGTCCTAGTTTAAAAACAAGGCTGCGTGGTGTTAGCACACGCTGTCTCCCAGGTGTGCTGAGGGCATGGAGAGACAATGGCTCCCACCATTCCCCGGGGAGGGGAAGAGCAGCTTGATCTTTCTGGGGAACGGTTGGCAATACCTGCCCAAAGCCAGGCACCATAGCGCATGCCTGTAATCCCAGCACTCAGGAGGATGGGGCAGGAGCCAGTCTCGCTACATAAGCTCAAGGCTAGTCTCAACTACATAGTGAGATCCTGTCTAAAAAAAAAAAAAAAAAAAAAAAAAAACTGCCAAAAGCTTCCTTAACGCCCTGCCCTTTGACCCAGGCACTCCACCTCTAGGAATGCTCTCCTGAAAATAACAGCCAAGGGCACTCAGGGGAGCGGTCAAAGTAATGGCCAAACCTTGGGGACAACTTTGTGCCCTGTAGAGCTGGATCGAGCCAAGAAGGACTATATACAGTAGAATGCAAGTGAACCATGAGCCACATGGTGGTGACAGATGGATGTCCAGTGTGCTGTCAAGAAAAAAAGGCACAGAGCATTTTGTGGGGAATAAAATCAACCAAAAAGGCTTCTCAGCTTTAGGTGACTTCCTTATGACTCTGCAGACATACTTATTTTCTTGTCTTGACATAATCTCTTACTTCTGTCCCTAGATAGCCAGGCTGTATCCCAACATGAACTTGGAGCTCCAGGGAGGAGTGGTCTCTGCCCCACTCCTAAACTTGAGTCCTGGGAATCTGTCCTTGGCCCCCCAGATGGAGATTGAGGGCTTTGTGCTCCTGCCAGACTCTGTCAGAAAATCTGTCTTCCGGCTTGGTGTGGTAAGGTTCACAGCCTTTGCAAATGCTGTTCCCTTTCCCTGCATGCTTTTCACCACCTGGCTGATTCCTCTGGGTCTCAACTGATATATTACTTCCCCAAAGAGCCTTTCTATCTTTTTTTTTTTTTTTTTTTTTTGGTACCAGGAATTGAACTCAAGACCTTGCACTTACCAGGCAGGGGCTTATGCCACTGAGCTATATCCCTGGTCCCAAGCCCTTTATCTCACTTCTTGCCATTTTGTTGTTGTTGTTGCAGCTCCCCATTGTTTTTCTTCACAGGGCTTTGTTACCAAGATATTTAGTATGTAGCTACTTGCAGATTTATTTATTTAATGTAGGTACCTCCTTCTGAATCAGGGCTATTGTGGGGAGGAGGGTATATGGATGAATCTTTGTTGTGTTCTCTCTGGTCTGTATCTATATCCGATGCGTAAAGACTACATTTCCCAGGCTCCCTTGCACTCTGACATCCAGCTACAGTCCACCATTGGGAAGTAGGGTCGGGAGAATGGAGGTTGGGAGGAAGGAAGAAGCCAGAATATTATTTCTCTTGCTTTGCCTTGAGCAAGAGACTCTGCAGGCACTATGTATCCTCCAAGATGGCTCTCACTATCCCAACCCCACCCTCTGTTCCTATCGTCTGGGGTACAGCTTCACCAAATTTTTTGTTTCCTCATAATTCTGTCACTTGTATAACCAATTCTTTGCAGAAATTGCCTCCACATTCAATATTGAAAGTGGTTTTTTCTTTCTTTCTTGGTTCTTGTTTTGTTTTGTTTTGTTTGGGGTACCAGGAGTCGAACTCAGGACCTTGCGCTTGCCAGACAGGTGCTTGTGCCACTGGGCTATATCCCCAGACATTTTTTTTCTTTCTTGATGGACCACAACTAATAAAGAAGGGATTTTAAGTCCTCAGGGTTGCTGCTTACTAGATGCAGAGCTTCACTTTTTTGTGTTAGCCTAGAAACTCAGCAAGTCAGATCTCTGAAAGTGGGCCATTCCTCTCAGAGGGTATATCTAAATTTGATAGTGCTGCTATTGTCATCAAAATTGTTTTTATTGTTCATGTATTTTTAAATAAAATATATTTTATTACTATTATGACTAGAGCGGAATCTTGGCCAGTGAGATAGCTACTAATGATCTTTTCTTAGAGTTCTCCAGGGATAGATACACTATGCCTTCTCTTGGTAGTCTGTTCGAAGTTTAACTGCTAGCAGAGTCAGCAATTTCGAGTAAAAATGTTCAAGGCCAAGTTCAGACATTTATTGAGTACCTAAAATGAGCCCTGTGGGAGTCTACAATCTACTGGGGAAATCTCCTGCTTCAACTCACTGAGTCATTTGTTGAGAGCAGACAGCTCTCCCTGTCCTGACAACCTCCATCATTTACATCTCTTTCCTTCCACCGGCTTTTTCAGGCCACTAATGTATCTGCCACGCTGACCTTCAACAGCAGCAGGATTACTGGGATCTTGGACCCTGGAAAGTAAGCCAGCTTCCTGTACAGACTGTGGTGCTCTGTTAGGCCCCATCTGGACACTACAGCTGCTTTTCTGAAGCTGGGGGTGGGGAGGAGGATTTGATGTGATCCTGTTGGTATTAGAGCCCACCATTTGGGAGTATCACTCCAATTGACCCAAGCGTATTACCCCACCGGCCTGCCCCCCAACAAGTTTCAAATTTCTAAATAATTCATACAGAAAAGTACTGCTTTTCCTTAATTTATGAACTTTGGAGATCAATATTAACTACCTGAAATGACAAAGATTGAGCTCCTTTATACTCCTCGCCTCCCCTCTGTCAGTCTTCCCGATGTTGCTGTGTTGTGGCTTTTAGTTACTTAATCATGTTTTTCACCCCACCCTACCCCTCCTTCTCACCCAGCGCTGTCTCCTTCCTAGGGAGCCCCTTTGCTTAGCCTTCCCATGGGTATAAGGCTCACGTCTAGGAACCGTCTCTGATTCTTCCTAGGTTACACGTGGAACTGAAAGAATCCAGAGTAGGTGTATTCAATGTAAGTCTTGCTTGTTTTTACTTATCATGTGACTAAGATACTAATTAATTTAGAGTGTTTACTAAGCAATGGCTGTGGCTCCTATAACAGGAACTAGAAAAATAGAACAGATCTCATTTCTGCCCCAGGGAAGTATAGAACTGCTGGAGTACCCAGGGCATAGGGCCAAGAATAGTTATATCCCAACATACATTAACATACGCCTAACTTGCCTATTACACACAGTTCTTTGACCTGCAAGGAAAGACTGTCAGCTCAATTGTCTTAAGCACAAAGGAAGCATTCATAGGGTCATATAATTGAAAAACAACAGAAAAAAACAAACTAAGGCTAAAAATTTCAGACATAGCTGGACTCACGTGCTCAAATGAGTGCATCAAGAATCTCTCTCCCTCCGTTCCACCTTCATGAATTTTGGCTTCATCCTCTGGAAGCCTCTATAGCAAACCACAGGGTTTCTTATAGTTTCACTTTTTGAAGAAAAAAAATACAAAATGAAAAGACTCCCTGTGCTAGCTCTCACTCTCGGTGGGGCGCCTGTTCGTGTGTTTGTTTATTGGAGAACTGGGATTGAACTGAACTCAGGGCCTTCATACTGAGCTGCCCTTTTTTCTCTTTTGAGACAGGGTCTTGCTAACTGCCCAGGCTGGGCTTGAACTTGCAGTCCTTCTGCCTCAGACCCCTAGAGTGCTGGCATTACAGGGGTACACACCATACCTGGCTAGGGGCCCATTCTTAAGACACAAACTGTGACTGAAAGTTGAAGAAGATTAACAGCCAGCCACGGGGCTCATATACACTCCTAGAGCCAGGATCTGCAGTCGGCTACCCAGAACACAGGGACTAAGAGTGGAAAGGAGGGTTCCCAGGAGAGAGGGTCTGTGTTACTAAAACAAGAGGAATTGAAAGCCAGGAAGGCAAAACCATGGAATGATTCTCACAAGGAGAACAAAGCAATGAAGCGGATGGCCCCATATGAAAGGAAGAAAAAGATGGGAAGATGTGGGGGAGACTGAAGTTATGAGGAACTTTCTGGAAAGGGGTGACAGCACTTCCCGGGAAGAGATAGTGGGCTTTGACTCGAGGTCATTGCCTTTCCCTTCACCATTCATGATGGCCTCCTCTGATAAAATTCTGACCCTGCTGTCCAGCCTCTAAGTCACTTTGATTCTGTGGCCCTCACTTTCCTTTCCTGCAAAATGAGGACATTAATATGAACTTCATAGCCAGATGTGCTGGCACACACCTATAGTCTCAGCTACTTGGGAGGCTGAAACAGGAGAATAGAAAGTTCAAGGCCAGCCAAGGGCTATATAGCAAGACCTGGCCTCAAAATAAAAATTTTTAAAAGAGCTGGGGATGTAGCTCAGTGCTACAGCACTTGCCTACCACACACAGTCCCCAGAGCCACAAAAAAATTAAAAAGGAAAACAGTTCTCTATGCGTTTTAAAAGTTGTGTTTCATAATTTTTGTAGAGATGCCCATTTTGTTCACTTAACTTTTAAAAAATTACACAAGTCACCAGGAAACTATCTCACTGTTTGAAAAAATTAAATGCTAAAGATACGGTAAAGGCCAAGTGGACCCTTGATGTTCTTCCTAAAGGAAGACGATGGGCATGTAGCCTTGCAAAACAATTCTATTTATTTGCATACATATAAATGCGCACTTCAGATTACTTTTCATTTATAAATAGTAGCAAGCTAGCGGTATCTATCTACAATCTGCTCTTTTCATGACTTTGCCCAGTCAGCAGGGACAGAACCACTGGGCCATGTTTGTTGGTGGGCAACACTGCCTGCATGTCACAGTGTACCTCTCCTTTTCTCCACCAGGTGGAGCTGCTGGGAGGCTTCCTCAACTACTTCATGGTCAACAATGTCTACCCAGAGGTCAATGGTAAGAATCAACATGGATTTTCCAAGTCAAAAGTGTCCCTTAGTGTTTGAGAGAAAGAGAGTTTGACTTAGAGTTGAGAGTTTGACTTAGGGCTCTCTTGAGGGCCATGTGGCTTTGAACAAGTCAGTTCTCAGCTCAAGCGGCCTCCCCGTGAGATGGGATGTTGAAGTTGGCCTCAGGGTCCTTGGCGGCTTGGGTGGAGGTGGGGAGCTGGAATAGCATCTGGCGCACAGCGACCTCCTCTTGAGAGAAAAGAGACTCAGACAAGTGCCCCTCACACCTGAAAGTGCAGGGGAAAAGCTGAGGACAGGGTTAATACTGAGAGCACAGGGCAGCCACCTTGAATTCATAGATGTGCATTCACTTTTCCCAGGCCATTGCTTGACTGCTTAGGCAAAAAATAGAGAATAAAAGCCCAAACCCAGTTTCCATGAGGTGCGCCCTCATTTTACTGCAACAGAAAGCAGGGTGGGGCAGAGGGCAGGGAGGAGACACCCACCTGCTCCTCACCCTGTGTGTCCCTGCCCCATACTTGTCATGTCCTCCACAAGGCACCTTGGCTCCTGGCTTAGACTCTCTTGCCAGCCTTGCTAGGCTCAAATCCCAGTTCTGCCACTTTCTAGCTGTGTAATCTAGGACAAGCTACTTGGCTACTCTGTGCTTCAGTTTCCTGATCCATAAAATGTAATAATAATCATACCTACCTCATCATCTTTGGTGGGCATATGCTGTGTAGCGTATGCCAAAAGCAAAATCCTTCAGTAAAAATTTGCCTGTACTTGTTTATCAATGCATCTCTTTCAATGCTGTGGACCTGCAGAGAAACTGGCCCAAGGATTCCCCCTACCTCTGCTAAAGCGTATTCAGCTCTACGACCTTGTTTTCCAGATCCACAAGGTGAGTGGGTTGAGGGGGCTTAGAGGATTTGCGGGGTGGGAGTTGGTTAGTCTGCCAGGTTTCAAGGCCATCACTTATTGGGCAGGACCAGCCCCCCGCAGCTGGGAAAGCTGGACGCGGCAGCAACCTCCAGGAGCTGCACTATCCCACCAAGCCATCCCAGGTCCTGTGGACATGGCACCTCTACTGGGACAGCAGGACTATGGTGAAGCTCTGAGACCCTCCCACAGGAGAGCTGCAGGGACCTCAAAACCAGCTCATTTTCAGAATAGGAACCAACTTGCCAGCAGGTTAGGTTCTGAAAGCCAGTTATTAAGGTTTAATAATTATTTCTTAATTATGAAGTGGAAGAGCTAGATTATGTGTTTCCTGCGCCGCCTGTTTGAAACACGTGCTATAACCCCACACACGCTTTTGAAAATTAAGTACAATTTGCATTTTGTGATACTTCTTTCCAGTCTTCCTCCACCCAAGATTTTCTTAACTTTTTTGGTTTGGTTTGGTTTGGCTTTTATACTTCCATTGCTTATGCTGTTTCCCCTACACACGCGCATGCACGCACACACACACACACACACCATTTTTATTTTAGTATCACCCCAAGGCTGGTCCCCTTGTGTAACCTGGTTTCCACTTCCCAGCACTAAATAGCTGTACATGGTCCCATCCAGCAGATGGACCATAATTGACTTAACTATTTTGATACCAAGACACATGCCTCATTCTTCACTATCCTAGCCACTGTTCTGACCAAGTGTTCTGTGGTCCATCTGTGCCCCCATTTCAGCTTAACTTTCTTGAACAGCATCTCCCAGGGGAGACAACCGGGCCGGCAGAGGTGTGAGCACCACAGGACATGCTGTGCCATGCCTGGCCAACAGGCAGGAAATCAGAACTGTTAAGAAGATGGACGGCTGGGGAGTGGGTGGGAACGTAGAAGCACTGGTTGGGTATTATGTTTGAAAAACAAGTGTTTGGAGCTCTTTTGGGCCTCAGGATACTTAAGAGTCAGCTACTGTTGAGTGCTTACAAGTGGAGCCAGACAAATCATTACTCAAAGTGAAGGCCGTGTGACAGTTCACACAGTTGGTCTCAGTCTTCTCCTCTGTAAAATGGAGTGAAGCCCTTCCCAGGTTTTGGTGAAGGCAAGAGGCCAATAATGAAAATTTATAGGTCCATGTTTTGTACATAGGAAGATTTATTACATATTATCACGTTCATTATAATTTTAAGGTCAACTTCATCCATTTTTCTGGCTACCAAAGGCACAGGTTGGATCAGTGGCTGTGGGCAGAATTAGATTTTTCCTTGAGTTCCAAGTTCCTGCCCCTCTGGGTGATAGAAGCTTAAGTGCAGGAGAGGAAACCGCAGCAGCTCACAATTTTTCATTCGTCACCAAGGAGAGAAAATTTAGGTGATACAAATGACACTTATGAGGCCTGCTAAAGAGCCACAGCTTGGAAAATGGCAGATAGACTGCTGCCTTGGAGAAGGTAGCTGGTATAAGCCGTGCTTTGAGGATCTTGGGGCTAGGGGCACAATAGCGATTTGTGCACTGATCTGGTTTCTGGCAGCTTGCATTTCCCAAGCCAGGGGCTCCCTTACATCACAGGTGCATCTTCCTGAAGTAGAGGCTGCTCCTCGCCATCCTGAGTTGTCTTGTTTTTCCTAGGACTTCCTGTTCTTGGGTGCCAATGTCCAGTACATGAGAGTTTGAGGGCAAGAAGAAAGAGGGATCTTGGAGGCCACAACTGGATCTGTACATACCAGATGTACTGCGCATCCCTGGAGATTCTCAGAGGACAGAGATAAGGACACTTCTTTCTCAGCTCTGGGGTGAGGTCTGCCTGGCCCCTGCTCCACACACCTCCACACCCAGCCCTCTCAGACCCCAGACTTTACACTCTGCTTCAGCATGGACCGCCTCTCCCAGCTGACCTGTGACATCTTTAAGAGCACCCCATTTTTTTATTCACTATCTGATCTCCATGTCTAGCCAAGTGCTAGCACTTAGTAGGTCCGCAATAAATATTTATGGAATGACTTGTGAATGAATTACTGGTGTTCTGGCTGAACCTCCTTACAGCTCACCCTTGTTAGGCTTTGAGGCTGTTGGGCTGGTACGCTCCAACTGTGGTCTTTGATGGGTTCCTTCTCTCATTATAATTCCTTTAGAATCGCCGTGGCGCCACCTGCTGGAGGCTATGTGCCATGGCCAATATGGCACTGGCCACTAGAGGCCATGTGCTAAGCCCTACCCTTCTTCATCTGAGTTATATTATGAGTTCCTGCTCCTCTTTGTAGTGTCCTGTTTCATTTTCCCACCCAATGCTGGAGTGCTACGTCAGCTGGTCCATCCCCCTAATCCCCGCCTCCAGCCTGGCCATATATTACCATTGTTCTCAGCTGGGCCCCCCAGAAGATCCACGTTCCCCAACCCCACTCATCTGTGGTCTTCTCTGTGCCCATAATAAAGGCATGTTATTGTCTTATTACTTTCTAGCGCCGGCCGAAATCTATCAGTCTTCAGGGCTGAACCTAGACCGCACTTCTCTTTTTTGTCAGCCACCACTGTAGGCGCTCCACACACTGCTCAGCCTGGGCCCGGATGCTCATCTCCACTGTCCTGTCTCAGATCAGAGGCCTCTTTTGACATCTGCTCGCTTCCTTGCGTCTTGCTGCAGACTTGGGAGCCAAAAGCAAAACCCAGCCGCCTGCTGCTTTCCCCATTAAAGCTGGTGTCAGTTGTTGGAAATGGAGCCAAGGAGGGTTTTGGTCCAACCCAAATAAAAAGCTTATCCAACTGTTGCTTATGAGCCCCATGCCTGGAGGGAAATGCCATGATTTCTACTTACTGAACAATGAGCATTTGATCAGACTTAATAAAGAGTCATTTTCAAGTTATGTAGTTATGCCCCCAGGGGCTGGGAGTCAGAAGGCTCTGCTGATTTTTATTTTAGTGTGTTAATGAGCAGATGGATAATTCACAGGGAATAGACCCATTTACCCTGTGTGTGATCATGATGGGTTCCAAGATAGAACTATGTCATCACCCAGCTGGTGGCAGGGTGAGCTGTGGCTTCACTATCTCTCTCCTCTTTTGTTCTGTCCACCACCATCGTCCATCCCTGGGGTAGAGGGGAAGGGTGTAGCCTTGGGCATGTGGCCTTGGGCAGCCACTCCCCCTCAAGAACCTTGTTTATAAAAGAAGGATGATGGGGACTGCAACCACATCCCAGGGCTGGTGTAGGGACTCTGCTAGGTAATACAAGTCAAAGGCTTTACTTAGCCAGCGTGAGGACTCAGAGCTCATTGCAGGGGAGTGCTTACTGAACATGGGTGCTTACTCAGCATGAGGAACAGAGGCAGTACAGACCCCACTCCAGTCCTTGCTGTTAGCAGTGCCTCAGGTATGGTGACAAGAGCCAGGCTTGATTCCACTTTATCTGCTTTGGACCCCTGCTCGAGCATCTCTTAGCCTCACAGGATGTGGCTGGGAATAGCTCATTCCCAGGCAGGGTGACGAGAGACCTGAAGGGGTCTAGCTTCTGTGAGTGTACAGGGCATAACGAGGTCCTGGTAAATGGCTGACACAATGATCACCGTTTTACTTTGGGCTCCCCAGAAGTGGACCTTGAGACAAACACAAGAGTTGGAGCAGTTTATTTGGAAGACCCTAGGAAGTCCCATGGGAGTGGGCAGTGAGCTAGAGAAGAGAAGGCAGCCTGGTGAGGAACAAGTTAGTCACTACTGTGGTGCCCGGAGTCTAACCTCCAGAAAGCTCCCAGCACCACGTAGAGCGTACCTCATTCCACCCATGACAGTAAGCGCAACCACCTTGTCCCAGTGTCACTGGTTAACAGAGTCATCACATCCTGCTGGGCCAGATCAGAATAGTGCTGCTGGCCCTCTCATGCCCTTGTAGGGCTAACACCCTAGAGTCCATGCAGGCACCTCAGCATCCTGGACCGGCCCCACCTGTGCAGAAGGACTGACCTTGGTACAGGGAGTTCCAGTGCCAATGACCAGGACTCTAGGCTGTTAAAGGACCACGGAGGGCTTTGTAGATTTCATCCTCACAGGAAACTAAGACACCGCCGTGGAGAGCATCCTCTTGGCTATGACATGCTCCTCCCCTCTGCTCCTGCTACATTACCCATGATGACCTGCTCAAGACCTCCAACCCCAGCAACATTCTGCTTTCATGGTCCTCACACCTAAGCACAGTCCACCATCTTCATCAGAACCCTCTTACCTTCTCGCCTCCTCCTTTCCCCACTCCAGCCTGGGACCTGGGCTTTGGCGCCAAGTAGCCGGCGGAGAGGTCGTAGACAGGCCATAGCCGGGGAGCTCCGTGCCCTCCGTCACCACCATGCCTCTGTCTGAAGGTTTGAGCAACAGGAACAGCCTGGAAAATGGAATCCATGATGTTTCTGATGAGACTCAAGGGCTCAGAACCCACTCAGTGCCAAGACCAGCATTTCTCCTTTCTCAGGATCCTGGGAGGTCATTCGGAGAAGGCACCAGCATGCCGGGAACCACAAGAGAGGGAAGTGCAGAAGAATCCTGGCGTAAACAGCAAGGTCAGATTCGGCTGCTTACGTTGGCCTGAGGAGGTGTGAAAGAAAACCCTGGTGGGTATAGGACCACAGGGTGAGGAGGAGGGAAATGAGGAAGTCAAAGAGCACAGAGAGGGCAGGAGAAGAAGTAAAACAAACGGAAGAACCAGGTGTCACACTGGGCCACAGGGAGTCAGGCACAGACCAGTAGAGCCGATACACTTGGCTTTTGTCGCTGGAAAATTCCAGGAGACATTGTCATATTAGCATGCAAAGCTTTGCATTGCATTCATAAAAGTTAAAACAGCTACACAATATCCCGCCTTTGTGTATGTAGAACGGACTGTGCTCATTCATATTTAAAGGTGCAAAGGCGCAGCCGGTGAGGTCAGACCAGTTTATTTAACCAGTCCTACTGATAAGTCCTTATGCTATTTCTAAACGTTTGTTTTATTAAAAGATGAGCCTTCTCCCTATACCATTTTGTATATCTGCAGATACATCATAGAATAAGGGTCCAGAAATTGATCCCAATAATTTAAAGAGATTTTGCAGTTAATTAAGCAATTGGGCATTTGCTCCTCTTTCCACATTTTCCCCTTTTGAGGTGGTACCTGAGGACAGTCGCCCTTGGTGTCCCTGGGAGACTGGCTCCAGGAAGCCCCCTCCCATGGCTACCAAAATCGGCAGACACTCAAGTCCCTTGAATAATTTGGCATAGTCATTGCATATAACCTGCGCACATCCTCCCATATATTTTAAATAATCTCTAGATTACTTCTCATGTGCTGTGTTATGCAGGGAATAATGACAAGAAAATAAAGCCTTATGTGCTCGGTAGAGACTTCATTTCACAGTTGGCTCCATCTGTGGTCATGCAACTCGTGCATATGGAGCATCACAGGCTTGCAAGGAGGGGGCTCCCAGGATATCACAGCACTGGGCTGGAGGGTACAATGAAGAATGAACCTTCCTCGGGTCAGGGATTTAGCTCAGTGGCACAGCACCTGCCTGGAAAGCGTGAGGTCCTGAGTTCGACTCCTGATAACTCAACCCCCCCCAAAAAAGAATGAACCTTCCTCAAAAGAGGGCTGGCCTTTGTCTCCGCCCTTGCAAAGTCATCTCCAAGCCCTTGGGATATCTTGCCTGACAAGAGTGTCTGTGTACCAAGAGATGTTGGACCATGCCAGATAGTCTAACAGTGTGATCTGTGAGGGGAACTTTGGGTCCCACGGGATCGGCTGAGCCCCTGAAGGTGCTGAAGAATGAGCCTAGCCGCATGGGCAGCCAAGCAGGTTGACATAATCAGCCACAACAAAGACTTGGAACACCAGGGCCTGGCTGAGCTGCCCTGGTGGGCAATGCTCCATGCTCACTGTCACATACAAAGCTGGACTGTAGGGACAGGGTGACTGGAAGCTCTGCTCTATCAGCCACCAAACACACTGCAGCTAGCTTCAGATGCTGAGTGTGAGGCAGGGACACTTGAGGTCTGTTCACTGAGGTCTGGTTGCGACCTAGAGGTCCCCCATTTCCTGTTCCCACCTGCCTCATCCTCAGCTCTGCCCTTGGTGCTAAAACCCCCTGCTGGTCAGGCACTCTGATTACAGACTCCAGAATGTACCCTGATTGCAGAGACAGAGAGAGATTTGTTAAAGATAGAGTTGCTCACATGACTGGGAGGACAGAGAAACAGACCTGAGGCTCTACTTGCAAGCTAGGCATGAACTAATTGAGTACAGACTACACCAGGACACAAAAGCCCACTTCTTTTTTCCTTTTTATCTTTTCTTCTCCCCCTCCTCCAACTTTTTATGATACTGGGAATTAAACCCAGGGCCTTTGCACTGAGCTGCATCCCCAACCCTTTATTAATTTTTTAAAATTTTAAGACAGAGTTTCATTAAGTCACTCAGTTGCCCATGCTGGCTTGAACTTGTAATCCATTAGCTGGACCTCCCCGAGTGGTGGGATAACAGCTGTAAACTCACTTTTTCATGAGCCCACTTATGGTATTTTTAAAGTACAATTGGCTTCTGTCCATATTTGTGGGTTCCATATTTGTGCATTCACCCAATCATAGATCAAAAATATTCAGTAAATAAGTTATGTCTATATTGAACATGGACAAACTTTATTTTCCTGTCATTATTCCCTAAATAATACAACTATTTACATAGTATTTACATTGTATTGATGTAAATCATTGTATTGATGTAATCTAGGGGTGATTTAAAGTATGTGTATGGGAGGATATGCATAGGTTATAAGCAAACACTGTGCCCTTTTATACAAGGAACTCGAGCATCCATGGATTTTGATCTCTGTAGGTCCTGGAGCCCATCCCCCCCAATACTGAGAGATGACTGTATTCTGCTTCTAACCATTTAAGACTGCAATGTTTAATATTCATTTACCTGCTTGTCAAATGCCTCCTAGCTCAGTATTTCTCAAACTAATGTGCTTGTGAATTCCACAAGAATCTTATTAAAACAC